CAATGCTTTCCTGTGGACGTTCTGCACACTGGATGCGAATTTCGCATCCAGCATCGCAGATGCGACTCTAGCGGCTGTCAGGAGACAGCCACTAGAGGTTGGATTAACCCTGCTATGTAAACATAGCAGTTTCTCTGAAACTGTTATGTTTACATCTGAAGGGTTAAAACCTGGGGGACCTGGTACCCAGACCACTTCATTGAGCTGAAGTGGTATGGGTGACTATGGTGTCCCTTTAATGATCTTTTTAGTGCTAATACAATATCAGAAATAATTTTTTTAATATACATACAAAGATGTAGCTTTAATTCGACTAGATACATGTTCATTTAATTAATTATAACATTTGCAGTTTGAAAACAGCCAGTGTAAGTTAAAAGCATGTTACATAAATAATACTATAAACTATTCTATATCTAAAAATTAAAGAAATGTATTTCTCATTATATTTAAAAAGTCAAATGTACAATATTATCTTTGTGCATATTATCTATGCATTGTGCATAGTGTTTTGTCATTAAGCAGTGCTTCTAACCATAGAGGACTCAGGTGGCTGCTCAGTAGAGGCACACAAAACAGGTAATATCACAGTTTAACTTTTATTTTAACCCCTTAAGGACACATGGCATGTGCGACATGTCATGATTCCCTTTTATTCCAGAAGTTTGGTCCTTAAGGGGTTAAATAATAACAAATGGTAATTTTTCTATTCATGAGGCTCTGTCATTTTTTTTATTTCTTTAAATAATGTTGTGTTATACAATGGTAAGCCTCAACATTAAAATCACTGACAAGTGAAGTGAATAGCTTTGATTATATCGTTACAATAGCACTTGTCAAGTGGTGGGATAGATTAGGCAGCAAGTGAACAGCCAGTTCTTGAAATTCATGTGTTGGAAGCAGAAAAAATGTGCAAGCGAAACGATCTGAGTGATTTTGACAAGGACCAAATGATAGCTAGATAACTGGGTCAGAGCATCTTCAAAATGTCAAGTGAGGTGTTCCCACCCAGCATTTAGTGGCTAGTACCTACCAAAGTGGTGCACGGAAGGACAATCATGAACCAAGGCTCATTGATGCACGTGGGGAGCAAAGGCTTGTCCATCTGGTCTGATCAAACAGTCAAACTACTGTAGCTCAGACTGCTAAAAAACTGTAATGATGGCCATGATAGAAAGGTGTTCGAACATACAGTGCGTAGCAGTTTGCTTTGAATGGGGCGCACCAGGTCAGTGTGCCCATGTTGACCAAGGTCCGCTGCTGAAAGCACCCTCAATGGGGACGTGAGCGTCAGAACTAGACCATGGAGCAATGGAAGAAGGTCTGATATCATGAATCACTTTTTCTTTTAGATAAGGTGGATGACTGGGTGGACAGGCGTCATTTACCTTGGGTCCTGGCATTCATGAGGATGTTACTTTGACACGTACCACCTGTAACACTGCTTCATGGCAATGGTTTTCCCTGATATCAGTGTCCTTTATCAGCAGGATAATACAACCCGCCACACTGCAAAATTTGTTCAGGAAAGATTTGAGGAGCATAACAAAGAAGTGTTGGCTTGGCCTCCAAATTCCCCAGATCTCAATCAGATTTGAGCATCTGTGGGATATGCTGGAACAACAAATCTGATCAAAAGAAGTCCCACCTTGTAACTTGCAGGACTTGAAGGAAAGTGCCAACTCCTTGGGATAAGTTCAGAGTGTGGAGGCGCTGAACGTCAGTGATGCACACTGTGAAGCACTGCCCCAGGATTAGTGGGGCAGAATATATTAACAGGTGTAGTTATTAATTTCATTAAGCATTTATACAATCAATAGAATTATCATACCTACCAAGAGATTAATCAGACTACAGGTACCATTGTCTCAGTGTATAAGGTATGACTTAGCAGCATTATGGAATGAAGTGAAGAAAAGGCAAAGTGAATTTGACGAGACTGCTTAAAAAAAATAATCGATTGGGTGTTGTAATATAAAATAGAGCGCTCCACACAGAAATTTCTTGTGTAATGAAAATGGATGGAAGGGACTGAAATCCTATCATCCCTAGCAAGGAGAGTTAACACTGTACCTATACCAGATGTCCTCATGTACAAAGTCTCCCCATAAGAAATGTGACATCCCTAAAAAGATACAACACACACAAGGGGGCTGATAAGGACAAAGGCAATTTTTTAGAGGTCTTTTCTGCTGCACCGTTTCATGACTTTAACGGGGATAATCCTCTCAGATAGAAATAAATATGTAATAAAGAAGTGGCAATTTTAAATATATATATATATAGAGAGAGAGAGAGAGTGTTCAAGTAGAGATTGTAGTCGTATTAGTCCAGTGATGTAGATGTAAAAAACAGATACAATTCTTATCTTGTAATACCTTTTTTATTGGCCTAACAGAATTTTTTAATGACAAGCTTTCGGGAGAACCTCCCTTTCTCAAGTCTGAAGGAAAAAAAAAAGGGAGGTTCTCCCGAAAGCTTGTCATTAAACAAATTCTGTTAGTCCAATAAAAAAGGTATTACAAGATAAGAATTTTATCTGTTTTTATATATATATATATATATATATATATATATATATAATATGATTACGCACTGTTAAACTTCTTATAATGCTTCTTACAATATCACAAAAGACAGGGATAACATATTGTAATCCAAACATATGCTACGAGTTTTGGATGTTTTCAGACTTTAAGAAGACTAAATAGTTATAGATATACCCAAGCAATACACTAACAGGGGATGTTTGGATCTAGGCTTTCATCACGTTATTGATCAAAGTCTGGACTTCGCAATATTGCCTCTGTATTACTTTATCGAATGATTTTTAGCCTGTCCGACTAAATGGCGAGAATGCAGAATCTAATTATGTAAATAAATACCGAACGCTCAAGTACAGAATTGGATGGTGGTAATTCAGTATGGTCTAAAATAAGCTATTATTACAGAAAACTGTAATTTGCACCATTTTAATAGCTAACTATTAAAAATGAAAGGGTTGAAAAGTAGTCCAATACACCTCAATTAAAAAAAAAAAAAATAATTAAAAAAAATATTTAGTGTATATTTTATTTCATGATATTTTTATTTTATTTATTAAAGCTGTATTTTATAATGTATTATTTTAACTACCGGTAACTAGTGGACACATAAAAGTAGAGATTTTTTTTTTTTTATTTAGTGCTTTTTTTTGCTATTAAACTTCACTATTAAAGGAACACTATGAGGGCAGGGTTTGACCGCCATGCGAGCTGGTCGTGTTTTAAGAGAGCTCCTCGTAGGATCTCATTTAAAGTGGGATTAATTACTGCAAATCCCTCTCTAAGCAAGTTTTTCTGAGATCCCACTTACCCTGATCAAGCTGATACACTGTGGAGTGGCTGCTAGCTACATTTTGCCTCAACGAGTTCTGCAGTGCGACCTTGGAGACAAATCGGACGGGAGAGGTAGCTGATCTCCCAACCTGGTGCATCCTGGGCCCAAGAACTCCACTCTGCACCTCATTATCCCCCCCTCTTTGGACTGGCAGGGTAACGGATCACCTGCCACCCGACTGGGCACCTCCATTGACAGACGCTTCCTAGCTGACACAGAGGACCATAAGCACCGGACACCACAACCACTGCAGACTCCACAACCGCCATAGCATAACTGGAGTCTCACCGTCTTCTTTCCACCCTGGATCAGCCTCTGTCCTCCAGGACCGTGTGGGAAAGACCTCTCCTCCAGGAGAGCGTATCAGGAACAGCTCTTAAAAGAGCTAAGTGATTAGTGCTCAGGGGAGTATATAAAGTATAGCAATCCCCAGTGTGAATATAGCAGTTCCCTACAATAACGAGACGAGGCTACGTATTGATGGTTAAGCAGATCAGAACAGAATTAACTGAGGCTTTATTGTTTCTTTTATACAAGTTTTCCCACAAGGTTACCACCCACATGGACCTTGTTGGGCACTGAAAACACAAACTCAACAACCAATAGTTTACAGTCACACAGTTAAACACTCCCATTTATTAATGTAAATCCCTCCCCTCTGCTTGGGAGATAATTTAGTTAATTGCTGTATCAACTCTATTTACAAGCGAAAAATACACTTTTTACACATTTTCCATAACTTTAAAATGAAACATCCATTTCTCATAAAACTTATATATTCTGAACGGGCATAATTATGGGAACAACATAAAAAATCATGCAAATCGGTTCAGTGGTTCGGGAGATAGATGGAAATCACATTAGACCGACCTCAAAGTTGGCTTCCATGCCCAAAACAGTTCCACAGATTTGGGCTGTGCAGCCGGGATTTTCACCATAGTTCAAATACTGTCCAAATGCACGAACGGGAGCCGTTCGTGAAAATAGACAGTGTTAATGTTGCGTTCGTATTGTCGAACACCGTTCGACTCCCGTCGAATTTCCAAAGAAGGTAAAAGTTCAGCGGTGTTCGTGTCGTTGTGTTATCTGATTTTAGTTCCATGAACTCGACGGCAAAACACAGCTGACCGCATTTGGCTAAACGAAAACGTGTTCGACTATATGAACGGCGACCACCCAGCCATTCGTCTATTAGCTTGCAGTTAACCACCAGCTTGGGAGGTAAATTGTCTGCACACTTCACTTGTGTGTGATCCGGCTGTTCGGTAATTTGGAGTTCCACTTCGACCACTTCGACAGTTTAAAGGGGCATTGTGCCAAGTATCCATATGCCCCAATAGGGTTCTTAAAGGGCAATACACACCAGGGCCATAGTCACAGGGCAAAAGGCTAGCCATTAGTCCTCTCCAAAAACAAGTGGCGAAGGGCAATTTGTCACAGGGGGTGATCCCGGTCCACTCTTGGGAGGCTACCTGGCCTAAGAGTTGTCGCCGAGTGAACAGACGACTAGCACGGAGACACGCATCATGGCGGACACCACATGCTCCCCAGATCAGCAGCCTGATATTATGTCCAAGCTGCAGCGCATATTTGCCCACTTCTGGAAAAAAAGAAAGCTCAGAATGCAACAGGCTAATGTGCCAGAAGCATGTGATCCCTCACCTTTGATGGCACATCCACGCCACCACCACAAGAATATGGTCCACACAGCGAGGAGGCTACGAAAATGGCGGCAGAGCAGGCGCCACCTTTCGACTGCATCCAAGCCTACACTGCCAAATCGGGGCACTGCTACTGGACCTCTCTGCAAGCGCCAGATTACAAGTCCAGTTTCCTGCTATCCATTCTGGCCAACATTGGGGTCCCTGTGGAGGGCTGTGACACCCGTAGCAAAATCAGTAGCAACTTGGCTACTACAGCTCTAGCACCTGTCTGCATGGTGGGGCCTGAAGTATCTCTCCACACAGATGGGCTACAAGTCTGGACTCCTGCGACGGAGCCTGGTTTGTCAGAACTAACACTCTGTTGCACCTCTTGGAAGCGAGCTGAATCGATTGATGCCATTTTTTCAGGCACCGAAGCAGCCTAAGCAGAGGTGCAAAATTGTGGCCTACTACACGCCATATCTCCTGAACTTGGAGACCCTCCTCACCGTGTCTGCTAGAGAGGAGCCGAGAGGTCTTCCTGCACCGACACTGCCTTCCCCATCTGACTGTATGCCAGCAAAAGGACGTCGCTTGTACAAGCCGGGCACTGCCACTGCTGGTAGGGACATCGGGGAGATGCTACAGCGGCCTACATACACCGTGCCTGCTCCGGCGGAAGACCAGCCTGGATTTATTACAGATCTAGACTCAGAGCAACAGGGTCCAGCTACTGGAACTGACCCTGCGGTTAACCAGCCCTCACCTACTGAAATCTCTGATGACCCAGCCCCCACGACCAAGCGTGATCTGAAGGTTCTTCTGGCAGATATACGCTGTAAAGCTCGTCACAGGTTCTTGAAGGGGCCTGCTTGCCAGCCTCCTCCAAAAGACTATGGGCCCTTTAAAAAAAAAAAAACTATGTGAACAGACTTGTTTCGTGGAATTTTATCTTTGGTTTGGGAACCAGAGACCACTCGGGAGCTTGTTAAGCCAAATTGACAGTTTGTAACACTTTCCACCGCAGTGTTCTAAGTGTTCGTCTGGGTGGCCGCTGTTCGCATGCACGACCACGAGGTGGCGGACATCTTTTTCCTGCGAACGCAGACAGTGGTGTTTGGTCGTCGAGTTCATGGAACTGTTTTCGGACACTGAAACTCCCGAACACTGATGGACTTCCAGAATCACCTGCATTCGGTTCTACACAACTTAGAAGAGCACTGTTCAGTGGAAACTTTTCCACGAACAAGGCAAACAAGCTCCAGGGTAAGACTCTTGAATATGTTCGGTAGTTTGTTCGGTTTTTAAACTACCAAACTAGACCGACCGCAAGCCCTGATTCTCTGGAACTGTTTTGGGCAGGAGCCTCATGTGCGGTCGGTCAAATTATGACTTCCATGGAAATCCCAAATCAGGGGATATGACTTGTGTGGGGTTTTACATGTGTTTTCGGGGTACTTTTGGTGTATTGTAAAATGTGTGTTTTCTGTGCCTGGAGATAATTGAGTTTAGTACAGTTCCTGACTCAATTATCTCCCATGCACAGGGGAGGGATTATCTTGTTTTATGTGGGAGTGTCCTGGACCTGAGAGCCAATGTAATCATGTGAATGTTTTTTGCTGTATTCTACTCTCGGGTCTAGTGGGGAATTCCCCTGGAATATGTTTGAGGAAACCCCTTGCATAGGGACCTGCATATAAGGCCAGTTGTGGTAGCCATAAAGGAGATTTGTTTTATCCTTCATAAAGTCTAGGCTCATGTTTGGGGGACTGGAGAGCTATATTCACTCCAGGGATTGCTATAATCACTATACTCCTCCCTCCCAGACCCTCCCACGTCCTGGACAGCATCCATTTTGAAGCTGCATTCTTAGTGAGCTGTCCAGGAGGTGGGAGGGTCTGGGAGGGAGGGTCTGCTGCTGATTGGCTGGAATGTGTCTGCTGACTGGAGTCCGTGGCGAACCGTTCGTGAACCGTTCGGCGAACCGTTCGGCGAAACCGTTCGGTACATCACTAATTATCAACACAAAGGGGTTATATTTCTAAAAAAAACATTCATATGACAGCCGGCCTCTGAAACGACAGAGCTGAAAATATTTTCAAACTGTAACACGCACGCAAACAGTTACGCAAGAATAAAGATTTTATGTTTAATTACTGCAGAACGGTCACAATCTGCACTCTGGCAGTATTTAACAAAGGAAGTTAAATGAATTATACGATGATTGCTAACCTTAAACAAATAATGTTAAAATAATTATTTTCCTAATCACTGTTCAAGTTCCGCTCTCCCGCAGTTCTGTTTCTGGTTTGTGTCTGCAGGTGGTAATGAGTTAATAATAAAACAGGCGGAAAAAAAAAATAAGGAAAAATTAAAGAAAACCTCCAATCCCGCAGCTTTTTATCTTTCTATAACAAAATGTTCTTTCCTTTTGTGTGTACATCCCGAGGAATCAAACTACC